TATCTATGGCTGCCGTACACAGAAACTGATCAGTGTCGTTGCACCTGACCTGTTCATCTTGAACGGGTATAATGCCATTATTTCGTAGTTGGGTAAGAAAAATAGGATTTTGATAGTGCATTGTGTGATTTTAAGCCAAGACTTCCAAAAATGTTCAGTAGAACTATAGATTCCAGCCACCTTTTACATGGAAAAGTACAGAATTATGTTCCCTAAAAAAATGAGCTCTCTATATATCCATCAATTATACAACGCCAAATTGGAAGATCAACAGTTTTTTGGCGCAAAATAAAACCCATGTGTTTGTTATGTTCAAAGTTTAGTCATTAAACTTTAGACCACTCGGACCACTGTATCTCTTGAGGCTCTAAAAAGTGGCCTAAAGTTTAGCCAGCCTCACAAAGATATTACTTCCTCCGTTCTGGTATATCTGGCGTGAGGAGCCTCATTCTGGATACCAAGGCCGATCCATTGATGCGCTCGCCATGATTAATCACCTGGCCGCTGGCATCAATTAATCTCTCACGTAATCTTCTCAACTTTTCTCTAGTCTTCTCCGTTGCTAGCCATGCATGCATGCAACGCCTCGTTTTTTTTATCGGGTGTAACTTAGACGCACATAACCTATACACTCCACACCACACGCACACATGCGTGCGCGGTCATCACACGCAAAGAAGAGATTGGGAGGCTCTCCAGGCTTAGTGCGCACTAGAAAACACGCAGTACCACCGAACGTGCACGCGTGCGTGCACCTCGACTCTTCACCTCACCGAAAGCTCTAGTTTGGTTTTGGTGAATTGATGAAACCCTAAGTGCTAACCTAGTTTATAAAGTGATTATGAGATAGGTAACACTACTCCAAGTGGTGAAGCAAATGGAGACCATAACATGACGATGGTGTTGCCATGGTGATGCTTGGACTTGGAAAATAAGAAAGAGAAAAATAAAAGGCTCAAGACAAATGTATAAGTGGTAGAAGCCATTTTATTTTAGTGATCGAGACACTTAGAGAGTGTGATCATATTTAGAATCGATAGCCGTACTATTAAGATGGGTAAAATTCGTATCGAAATACGGTTATCAAAGTGTCACTAGATGCTCTAACTCATTGCATATGCATTTATGATCTAGTGGAGTGCTAACACCCTTGAAAACATTTGTGAAAATATGCTAACACATGTGCACAAGGTGATACACTTGGTGGTTGGCACATTTGAGTAAGGGTAAGAAACTTCACCGGTAGAGTGTCCGCCTGTAGAGTGCGGACAGTCCGACAGTGCCACCGGCGCTCTATACAGAAAAGACAGGGTTTCACAGAGTGCACCGGACGCTGGTCTCAACTGAACCGGAGCGTCCGGTCAGTGGAAGCTGCGAAGACTCTGGCGTCGGTCTTCGACCAGACGCTGGGTCACTTCGTGACCGGACGCTAGATGGCTGCGTCCGGTCCCGCTGACGTGGCAGCGCACAGAGGAGACAGTGAGTGACCGGACGCTGGGTGAGTCCGGTCGTGAGTGGAGGCTTACTGGAAGTGACCGGACGCTGGGGGTCCTGCGTCCGGTCATGATCAAACTGGTGCGTCCGGTCGCAGGCTCGCAGCTGGAACCTTACTGAAAGTGACCGGACGCTGGGGTCCTGCGTCCGGTCGTGGCACTGTGCTGCGTCCGGTCATCACTTGACCGTTGGGATCGGGCGCTCATTATTTGAAGAGAGGGACGACGCGGCAGCCATCCGTTGACCGGACGCTGGCAGGATGCGTCCGGTCGATTTGACCGGAGCGTCCGGTCACCCCGAGCAGTGCCCAGTAAAGGGGTACAATGACTCTATTTCATGGGGGCTTGTATTTAAGTCCCATGGCCGGCTTTAGCTCACTCTTTTGGCCATTTGCATTGACACAACAACCTTGTGAGCTTAGCCAAAACCCTCCCATTCATCTCCATCATAGATTCAACATCTTTGTGAGATTAAGAGAGAATCCAAGTGCATTGCTTGAGTGTTTGCATCTAGAGGCATTTGATGTCCGTGTTTCGCTGCGGGATTTATTTGTTACTCTTGGTGGTTGCCGCCACCTAGACGGCTTGGAGCAGCGAGGATCGTCGAGCGGAGGTTGGTGATTGTCTCCGGCTCCGATCGTGGTGATTGTGAGGGGTTGTTGATCTTTTCCCGGTGGAGAGCCAAAAGGTACTCGTGTGAATTGCTTGTGGCTTGTGTGATCCTCATCTTGTGTTAGTTGTGCGGCATCATATTGAGGGTTTGACGTGTGATACCAATTAGCGCGTGAACCTCCAAGTGAGTGAATCGCCACAACGAGGACTAGCTTGCCGGCAAGCAAGTGAATCTCGGTAAAAAATCATTGTGTCATTATTTGATTCCGAGGTGATTGGTCTTTATTGGTATTTATTCTTGTGATTGATTGGTTCACTCTTTGACTCGGCGGTATAATAATCTTGCTTACTCTCTTTACATTACCGCAAACTAGTTATTAAGCTCTTTAGTGTAGCTAGTTGTGAGAGCTTGTTAGTTTGGTTAGTGTGGCTCTTTAGTTAGTCTTTGAGAGTACACTAACTTAGTATAGTGACATAGCCATTATGTGGTTAGAAACTATAGAAACTAGAATTGTGGTAGGTGGCTTACATTTTTAGTAGGCTAGCGCAACACTTGCTTCGCCTTATAATTGTCTAACCGGTTTGCTAAGTGTTTTTGTAGAAATTCTTAATAAGTTATTCACCCCCTCTAGCCATTAGGACCTTTCACCGCCTCATATTATGGCCCAAATGAAAAACCAGCGCACGCCAGATATACTGGAACGGAGGGAGTAGTTTATTAGACTAAGGCCCTATTCGTTTGTCTTTTCAGCCGTACTTTTCAAGCGAAGGAACAATATTTTTCTCTCACAGTAAATCAGCGAACAATACTTTTCAGCAAGCGAACAGGGCTTAAGAGCCCTTAAATTCTAGCCAACTTATGCCAAACAAGACATTAGTTATGCCCCGTCAACCTAACTAATTTGGGATTTGGGGTAAGTCCCCTGCAACCGGTGTCATCCCATCGACCCGCCCTGTGCGTCCCCTGCTGCTGTTGTCTATTGTTTTTAAATCGTCTAATTGATCTTAGTTGAGATGTTATCAATCAATCCGACTAATCGTGGCTAATTGAGACTAATTGTTGTGCATAACTGATCGGGCACTAATAAACCCAACTAACCACGATTAGGACGAGCTGATAACCTTGCTCCTGTCTACCTTGATATGCCTTCTTTTCTCTGGTTACTGAACAACTCTCTAGCTGGTATCCCCAGCAGTGGTAAGCTTGTAAACACATTTGCTTTTAATAAAAAAAGAGATGCTCTCCTTTTAAAAAGGCTTCTATCATTTGAAAAGCACATGTTAATGCCTATTTGTATACTGTATTAGCTTATCATATCATGTAAGTATTCGGAGAGCAGCTTGTTAGCTTTTTTTTTTTCTTTTATATATATATATATATATATATATATATATATATATATATATATATATATATATATATATATATATATATATATATATATATATATATATATATATATATATATAAACACTGACCCATGAACGCACTCTATGAGCTTAGTTGGTTTTGATAGCATTAGGACGATTATCAAAGGATTGCTTGATAAATTTTATAACAGTTTACTGAATTTGTTCATTAGACTTAGCCAAATCATGTATTGGAGTTTCGGCTCGACGTACCTTAAGCTAAAATTCTAGATGACGTGCTGACGGTGGACGTGACGTTGATGACATCACTGTAATTAGGAGAAGATGTTCCGACGGTGGATGGGCAACGAGCGTCCCGTTCGCTTCGCTTATAAGTCGTACTTTTTCAGTCAACGAACAATATTTTTCTCTCACAACAAATCAGCCAACAATATTTTCAGCCAGACAAGCGAACAGGGCAGAGGAGCCCACCATGGACGTGACGGTGATGACGCCCGCGAGGTTGAGAGTTCTCAGACCATGGCAAGTCAAGCAGAGACCCACCGACTACCTCGCCTGTGATGAGTTGCCGTAGAGATCAAGGTACTCCAGTCCAGAATAGCTGGTGAACTCCAGGAGCCCGAAATCCGCCGGCGAACTCTGATGGCAGGTGCGAGTGGAGTTGCTGGAGAGGAAACGCCGAAACGAGAAAGAAACGAGGAAGAAGATCAAAGGAAATGGTATTTTTACCCTCCGTTAAGTGATTATTAAAATGCTAAACGTGTAAACTTATATTTTCTCTCTTGAGTGGCAAAATTTCATGAACTTTCGATGGCAGATATGCAACCGGAGACATATGCCAAAAACTTAAACATCCAGTTTGGTTACAAATTGATGCCCGGTTAATTCCTTCCACTCCCTAAGAATATTGTCGCAGAGCTCCTCCCTAATTAATTAAGTATAAAGTAGAAAAAGATAACTAGCATGTTCAAGTCGAAGCTCACGGATACTGAACCTGCAACTTCTCCAATTCTACTCCTGGTCACTATCACCCGACAAGACAAACTTGCCATAACAGTCACCGAACTACCAGCAACAATAGGGAATAAACCCTAAGTACTTAAATAGTAAATTGTATTCCGCAAGAAAATATAACTTTCAATGTTTTAGCTCATATTTATAGTTAAGCATCAGGTTACCATGTTTACAAGCTAAGAAATTTCTTAAGCTTGTCCATATTTTGACTTGGTAAAAAATTGGCTCTCAATCAAGCAGGCTCTTAAAAGCCCGATTAGTTGAGCATCGTCTGAAGGCTCTAGAGGCTAGCCCACCAACATGGGCCTTCCAACATTTTTCGTACTCCTGCCAGCTTCAGGCTCTAGATGCAAAACGCGGCCCCGTGCTGCGTTGGTTGGGACTTGACTCACACCAATGTCGCGTGCGGCCACTAGATTTTTCCTGACGCGGTCGCTGCTCCCACTTCCCCTCCTCCCCCCGAAGTGGCAGCGGCGGCGGGGTAGCATTTGCGCAACGAGGGCTTTTGCCATGGCGGCCTCGGGGTTCGGCGGCGGCGAGGCGTTCCGGCTCTCGGCCGCGCCGGGCGCCGGCGCACTGAAGCTGCACAAGGGCGACATCACCCTCTGGTCCGTCGACGGCGCCACCGACGCCATCGTACGATCCTCTCTGCCTACGATCCTCCTCACGTGTCCCGCTCACTGCTCTATCCCGTTTGTTTCTCGTTCCCCGTTCTATCGTTTGTGTTTGCGGTTAGTGCGCGATCCCTTACATGCTTAGCGATTTGGGTTGGTGCCGGTGATGAGCGCGGGCGTGCTTCTACCAGTACCTGCAGTTTCTAGATCGGTTTTCTGATACTATCTAGTTAACGTGGGAGGCCATTTGGATTCCACAAGCTGGCTTAAGGCCTGTTTGGATCCATTAGCTAGCTAGACACAGCTAATGTTAGCTAGTTTGGTCCAACTAGTGAAACAGTTATTGGTTGGGTATTCAGCTAACAATTAGCTAAACTATTGGTTAGACCTGCTAATAATTAGCTCCTTGGATCCAAACAGGGCCTTGCTGAATTTTAGATCAGAGGTCAATGGGACTAGTACTTAGATGCGCTTTATTTTTGTTCAATCCAAATCCGTTGCTTCTGCGTCTGCGAATAAATGATTGCATTGTCCTTCTCCGTGTGTGCTGTGTGGGCATATATTTTATTTCGATGTTATCCGCTTACTATCTGAAGCTTCGTGCGATGGCTATGTAGATGCTTTACAATTTTCTGTCTGCAGCCTACCTTCTAAAAAGGAAACATTCAGATGTCACTTTGGTTGAATCTAGTTTGAGTGGCCTGATTTCCACGGAGAAAAGTCCGGATAAAAATTCTAAACCAAGTACATTCATATGATCAGGTGCTAACCTAGATGGAATATTATGATAAGGTTTCTATATCTATGAGCCTTCAAAGTTTAACTGAAACATCAGATAGATGTAATCATGTAATTCCCAGCAAGAATATCCAAATTTGGAAACAAAGGGCTTAGCCTTGTCAGGTATCATCTTATGAGAGGAGCTACTCTAGCTTGGCGTGCCCACCTGGTTCAGTATATTCTGTACATTGTCACCAGGGGTGAATCTAGCAAAATGAGACGCCATGGTTCTATTTGGGTCATGAACTAAACAAGAGATTAATATATAGAGGGTAAGGTAAAAACCGTCAAGGTCGGTGGACCCCGATGGTATACTGTAGATCTACCCCTCATCTTCACCTATTTTGAGGAGTACAGAATGGTTGATGATTTTAAATTGTCTATGTTGTATCAAGCTCTTACTTCTGATGTGTAATCATATTCCCAAACACTTGTGCGGCTACTTTGATTCATGATATGTTGCTCTTATTATAAATTAGGATGCTGATTTGTATTGGGCTCTAATTCGTCCCTTGTTAACAAATACTGCTCAACTTTCTTAAAGCGATAATCTCTGTATGCAATCAAAAACTGAGGAATGTAACTGGCATTTGTTTTGGCAGGTTAATGCTGCTAATGAGCGGATGTTAGGTGGCGGAGGTGTTGATGGAGGTAACATGTAATAAGTACTTTCGAGAATTGTTATAGTTCAACCCATTGTTTATGGTTATGGACTATATCCCGTATTAACTAGAAACCCCTATCTCAGCTATACATAGAGCTGCTGGACCAGAGCTAGTGCAAGCATGCCATAAAGTTCCAGAGGTCAAACCAGGAGTTCGTTGCCCTACTGGAGAAGCTAGGATTACTCCGTTAGTACTTAGTACCTTATTTACTCATTTTGATTGTTTCATAAGTCATAATGCTCAATTCTAAACTTTATGTATCGCTTACACATCCCTTTGCCCAATATTAAATGTGAGCAGTGCTTTCGAGCTTCCTGTCTCTCGAGTGATTCACACTGTTGGTCCCATATATGATATGGACAAGCATCCTGAGGTGTCATTAAAGAAGGCCTATGAGTAAGCTCTCTTCAAATTTTAAAAGAAATTCTGTGCTGGTTACTGAACCAGTGAAAAACTATCCTGAACTGCATATACTAATTGCAGAAATAGCTTGAAGCTTGCTAAAGATAATGGCATTCAGTACATCGCATTCCCTGCTATATCTTGTGGTGTTTTTCGGTATGTGCCAAGTTTTAGTTTTCACTCATTTACCTACCTTTGGTGCACTCAGCTCCTTTTCCCATTTCAGGATTTAATTTGTAAAGAGTAACTTGACTTGGATGTTATGCAGTTATCCTCCCAAGGAAGCATCAAAAATAGCTGTTTCTACTGCACAACAATTTTCAGAGGATATCAAAGAGGTTAGGTGTAGTTCTACTCCTAAATTTTTCATGGTCAAGTACGATTACTTCTGTAGTACTTTGGAATTCAATTCTCAAAACTCCATTGTTAGATAAAAATATAGCAACAATTGTCCAATAAATAAACTGGATATGCATTACCAGAACTAATACAGATCTTCAGTTCTGGAGAACTGGACAAATAATAATGATCATGCTTGTTTTTACAAGTGTTTGACAATTATCTTGATTAAATATATAGATCACTTGGTATGAATTATTTGTGCAGGTGCATTTTGTTCTGTTTTTGGATGACCTTTACAATATTTGGCGCGAGACTGCCCAGGAGTTGCTATCACAGTTTCAGAAATGAATGTTCTATATGTTGTTGTCTAGTGTTGAGATGTGAGCGCAATAGGCTAGTTTCCCTGATGTAACAAAATGAGTGTATCAAGCAACATTTTAATCTTGAACCATGTATTGCACTTGTGGTATGATGCTGAATAAGGTTTGGCAATACCAAGCACTTGCAACCGTCAGTCATCTTATTTGATCATGAAGAAGGGAAGAACTAGTAGCTGCCAATTTAACAGAAATTACTTGTGAAATGATACCAGGTTATGTTTTTAGGGGGAAGGGGGTAACATATTCGGACAACATTATAATCTTGAACCATGTATTGCACTTGTGGTATAATGCCGAATGAGTAAGGTTTGGCAATACCGAGCACTTGCAACCGTCAGTCAGCTAGTTCACAGCATCTCCCTGAACTATTCCCTCCCCACAAAGTGTCATTCTCACTGGACTATTTTCTCGTTCCCACAACACAAAGTATCATTCTTGCATCTCGAGAGAAATACAAAGGATCTTGGGCAAGAGTATCTGATTATATATGTATTCCAATGCGGAAGGAGGATTTTCAATGCGGGATATAAAAATCTCTCTCTGTAGCACCCATGCTAAGTAATCGATTATTCCCAGATGCTTTGTCATTCCCTCTTTTTTAATTATAGTTATTCCTCTGCGAGAGATAGAATTCTAAAAAAGAGCGTACCCAGTGTTGAGAGCTTCCGCTTTGTGCGAGAGATAAAATTCTAAGTCAGACAAATATTTATGGTGTATAATTAGTATCGTTATGTGAATCATTAAATATATTTTATGATAAACTTATTTAGAGATATAAATGTTGCTAATATTTTGACATATTTTGTAAATCAAACTTAAAAAAGTTTGACCCGCACGAATCTCATTTTGGGACGAAGAGAGTAAGCCACAACGTAGAACAGAGCTGCAGCTGAATCAGACTGCAATCCGCAGCGAAATTACCTTTGCAGTAGATTCAGCCTGTTGGCATAAAACCTAATGCCCTTGAGAAGCAGATTTGCCGTTGCATTGCTAGTACCAGCTACCTGCTACTGCACAAGCTTATGCGAGTTACGACCACTTCATTTTCACATTCCCATGACGATTGCTTTTGTTATTTTTAACAACATTTAGCCAGTTTGTTGCAAAGAGCTAACACAGAAAGCTATACCTTTTAATTTCATCTCAAACCTTATTGCCCAAGAGTACATTGCAACAGTATCTACTGTAGGTTTCGTGCTTTTTTTCTGTTTTCCTAACTCTCTAGTTTCACACCTTTAAGGTCTAAGAATATAGGTACAATAATACCTGACTAGCTTAGCAAGAGCTCATGTTTCGAGTATCAGTCCTCTTTATCTCTGATAAACCTTCTCGGTAGTCTACTGATCACATTCTCATCAACTATCTTGTAATGCCTCGATATGTTCCAGTGGAGCATCCCAGCATACCTATCGACAGGCCGCTGGTATTTGTTGTACAATGCCGGTATTGAGACCAATGCAATGGTTCCTGTCATGCACCCATTGTAAAATTAGCAATAAAATTCAGAAAAATAAACTCAAGACAAACAGAGAAAATATTTTGCCTGCAATTTGGTGGTACTGTCTGAGTGTCTGTATATTCCTAAATGTGTAAGGAACAAAGTGTAAAGTATGACCTGTGCAAGATATACCTATGTAAGCAAGAGTGATTGACGAGCAGAAATTTCCAATAACAGATAACAGCCAAAGGACAAGCACAACCTGTGAAGAGAATTTTCTGTCTCAGCAATGACAGTAATACCAAATAATCAACACAAAGTACATGCATGTCAGCGAACCTGGAAAAACAGCCGGAAGTCCTTGCCAAGAGTAATATCATGCGCTATCATCAGCATGTTGTTAACTTTAACACGGAATGAAGCCGCAGCATTGCTAACCATCTCCTCTGATAAAACTAACTCAGGTAGTTGCCTAGGCTGCCTGCAAATAGTTAAACCAGTATGATAACAGCATATAGGCAATTCAATCCAAATTTGAGATAGAATGGAAGGAGGATTTGGGTTGCTTACCTATTTAGAAGTCCAGCTATTTTAACCCGTAAGAACTGCAGAACTATCAAGATGAGAAATATATCACAGCAGATAGTTAACAATGATAGTCCAGACTTCTCAAACAACCACCATGCCATAGTAGCACCAAATATAACACCAAATGTAACACGCCCTCGCCTCCATAAGATGATATCAGCAGCTGAAATGGAAATTAACATTAGCACGAACAAGACAAATAGATGTTCTGCTGCACTTTAATAAGGCATAAAAGTAGCACCATTTATCCATCTCTAAATTAAAATTGACCAGCCGGGAAAAGCTTCCCTAGGACATTTCATGTAGGTAGTAAAACCTCAACCATGTTGGTCGAGAAAAGCCCTGAACCACGGTTCCACGCTGACGTGTAAGGTGCATCGTATAGTGCCATAGGCAGCTAGGCACTGGTCGGTGCATGAGGCAACCCGGCATCATAGGCCGGCCCACATGAGCAGCCGAGACTCTAGGAACATCCATAGTGACAAGCCAGCGATTCTTGTGAAGAGAAAATATGAATTGCCAGATCACTTGAAGCTAAGATGATGAACTAGTGTAGGCAGTAGGCGGGGTGATAAAAGAAATTGATTAACCTCTGAGATCAAGTACAACAGTCGTGCACTTTACGGCCCAATTGGACCCAAATTGAAATGTTGCCTATTCCTACATGACTATCTTTCAAATCCGTTCGTAATTGCAGCAATCATCGAGTCAGATTTCAGCACAAGTATTACAAGCCCTATTGAGTTCACAATAACAACTATAATTCCAGTTAAAACAGCACGATATTCTCTGATTGCAAGTCCACATTACACAGCACCCTAGCTTCCAAACCATGAGGCAGTCCAAAGTTTTGAACTACTACACCTACACCGAACATAACCTCTGCGTGTAGTTGCGCAAATCAAAACCTCAGCAAGCCACCATTTCCCAGTACTGGCCGAGACTGCATCCACGTAACGACATCACTAACCAATCCGCGTTGCTAATCGCACGGACATGACAACAAGGCGCAGAACCTATCGCAATTCGCAAACCGGGGCACGGGGAGTTCGGGGAGGAGGGCAGCAGACCTTTCCCGCCGCCGGCGATCTGGTGGGCGGAGAGCCTGTACCCGCCGGCACCGCCTGAGCTGCAGGGGTCGGCGGAGCCCTCGACCCCGCCGTTGGCGGCGGCCTCCACCCCGCCGGCAGCGTCCATGCGGGAGCCTAGGGTCCGCGGGCAGAGGAGACGACGCGAGACGTTCTGGTGATGGGAATAATCCGGGGGAGGACCGAGGACGGGAAAGGGTGGGGAAGACGGGAAGGGAAGCAGTTCGATTCTCCTCCCACGACGCGGCGGCGGTAGGACCGAAGCCGAACGAGGTCAGCACGAGTGCGCCGCCATTCTTTATTGAGACTTTTCCCTGTGTGCCATTATAAAAGATCCTAATTCATACATGCTCTACGGAAAAATTCAGGGTCTTGGTATTACTCTTGAACTTTTTCACCTCCATGCCACTTACATCAGTTCAGGCTCTAGCAGCCGTCAAACTACAAGTGTGAAAAAGGCGAAAATGCCCTTAAGTTCAAATATGTTATTAATTTTTTTTGAGCATCTTAACGACTTCAAATGAAAAAACTCAAAACTAGAAAGTTGTAGATATCGTTGAGATCTATAATTTTCATATAAAAATTATTTTTATTTAATTCCGCAAAAAAAATGATGATTTTTCTAAGATATATTAATCATATCAAATCATATTTTTTTTGCGGAATTAAATGAAAATAATTTTTATATGAAAATTATAGATCTCGACGAGATCTACAACTTTCTAGTTTTGAGTTTTTTCATTTGAAGTCGTTAAGATGCTCAAAAAAAATTAATAACATATTTGAACTTAAGGGCATTTTCGTCTTTTCACACCTGCACTTTAACGGCGTTAGAGCCTGAACTGACGGAAGTGGCATGGAGGACCCAAAAAAGTTAAAGTAGTGGCGTTGAAGACCGCTGAATTTTTCCAGAGGCACACAAGGGATTGCGATATTTTATAATGGCACACAGGGAAAAGTCTCTTCTTTATTCTTTCCTCCGTTTTTCCCCCGTTAATTAAGCTGGATTGTGATGATTAATTGGGCCGTCGGATGATTAGCGGGACCGTCCTTTCGGCGGAGGGACGTATCGGTTCCGGAACGTCTGGTGCCGCCCACGAAAACGCCACAAGGGCCAAGGCCCACAACACTTGCGGCAACGGCTCGCGTGGTACTCCACTGGGAGCGTTGTGCAGGACTCCGACATGCAAATCCATAAGGCCTCGATGGAGGCTACCGGTGGAACATTTTATCTTCTCTTAATCCTTTTTTAAATAAATTAGGCAGGAGAGGTGCCGACTATATTAAAAAAATATATGAAGCCTAGACTGAACAAAATAAAAAATGATACAACTACGATGGTTTGGATTGGGCTATTAACCCGCACCGAACTCCACCACCTCCCCGTCGGCCACATCGCCAACTCCGTGGGCGCTCCGACGTCGGCCTCCTCACCAACTTCTTGGTCGGAACTGGCGCAAGGTCCCATGAAACTATCGCCCTCCATTGGCAAGAAGATGCGACGCCCTCTAATCGCTGCGCCAACACCCTCAACCTATTGCCTTCCTCTGTCGTGGACATCGAAGACTTGAATCCTTAACTAGGCCTCCACCTTCCTCTCCAAGACACTGCCCGCCGCCGCAGACTGAACGAGCACGAGCTTCCAAAAATGACGCCTCCAAGGAGGGATGCGACGCCATTGGCGCTGTGAAAGCTCTAGTTTAATTTTAGTGAATTGATGAAACCCTAGATACTAACCTTTTCTCTAAGTGTACATGAGATAGGTTAGTACTAATCCAAGTGATGAAGCAAGTAGATGATGATCATGAACATGGTGGAGACCATGGTGATGATCAAGTGCTCAAAGCTTGGAAACGAAGAAAGCGAAAAAAATAAAATGAGCTCAAGACAAAGGTATATTTGATGGGGCCATTTTATTTTGGTGATCAAGACACTTAGAGAGTGTGATCACGTTTAAGATAGATAGCCGTACTATTAAAAGGGGTAAAATTCATCGTGAAATGCGATTATCAAAGTGCCACTAGATGTTCCAACTCATTACATATGCATTTAGATTCTAGTGAGTCCTAACATCCTTGAAAATGTTTGTGAAAAGTTGTTAACACACGTGCGCAAGGTGATACACTTGGTGGTTGACACACTCTGCCATGGATAGTGACCGGACTTTGACCCTGCGTCCGGTCAGTGACGCGTAGAGAAGGGCGCGTCCATGGTCTATGACCGGACGCTGAGCAGGTGAAGGACCAGACATGTAGGACTTGCGTCCGGTCAGTGCTGATGTATGGTGACGTGGCATGCTGAGAAGAGACAGAGTGGATCGGACGCTAGGGCGTGTCCACCACCCTTGATCGGACGCGTCAGGTCGCAAAAATCTCAGTTTTGGACCTCTCGGTGTAAAAATGGGCGAGACTGGACTCCATGTTGTGGAGCGTCCGGTCATACTAACGGCGTGTTCGATCGATTGCTCGGGGGCACGAGCATGAGTGCGACCTGACGCGGCTTGGGTGCGTCCGGTCATCTCGTTGGTGCGTCCGGTCTCCACTTAAGTGATGCGCGAGCGGCGAAGAGCCGTTGGGATCGCGTGACTGACATTCAAACTGGGAACACGTGGCAGAAATCCAACGACCAGCCGCTAGTGAGTGTGTGTCCAGTCATGTAACACCTCTGGTGTTACGAGCTTGCTTAGCACCTAGGTTAATGCCTAGGAGAAATTAGCAAAATAAGTTTTCAGGTTTAAAAGTTTAAAGCACGCATGGAATTATAAACGAATCTTGTGTGACTCGCTTTCGTAAATAAAACAAACAAATAAGTGTCGCTAGTCGACTTGTCTCGGTGCTTAACAACTTTTAAATAATCTTGTGGACAAAAGTTGTTTAGGGCTTGTTTTGGAAAAGTAGGAAGAAAGTGCTTGAATGACTTGTTTATTTGATTGAGCATGAAAAATAATTTTTTTATAAACAAAAATTTGTTGAAAGTAAAATTTGCTAAATAATAAAACCTTAGAGCTTTGATTATGCTTGTAAATGCATAAAGTTGGTTTAGAAAATGAATTTTGGAAGCTAAAATAATATAAAATATAAACAGAAAAAATCATATCATCAGCAAGATATGAACATCGTGAATATGTTGGTATGCTTGTTCGAGTATCAAAGTGATGTTTGTTAGTTTAAAAAAATATGAACGAAATAAAAATAAAAACAAAAGTGCTACTGGCCACTCATCTCACCTACCTCGTCGGTACGACGCGCGCGTTATGAGATAGGACCGAGCTTGCTGGCCTTGCCGGCTGCTTGCTCTCCCTCCCTCTGCTGGCCTTGTCACATACTGCTCTCTCTCTCGTCTGCTTTGCTTGGTGCAACTGCTGCACTGGACGAGAGCAGTAGGCGCCATGTGCGCATGCTCCCTCGTGTCCTTGTTCGGGAGCGCTTTAATGGATGATTTGCCTAGCCACTGCCTGCTCTTTCCCCCTCCCTGCTTACCTCTGCCGTTTTCTGTTTCACAGCACCCGCCGTGGCCACGCCTTCCGTTGTCGGTCCCTCGTGAGCGCGCGCGTGCCCCGTGGCCTCGCGCTGGTCCACAGCTCCCCGCTCCTCACGTGGGCCGACAAGGTTGAGTGTCGGTACGACTTCGCCGTCGCTCTCTTCCCTCTCACCGAAGCCCGCGTGTGGCTCCGCCTCGCCTCGCTCCTCCTCGCACCCCCGGCTCCTCCCATGCCCCGCGTGCCGACACCCCCGCCGTCGCCAGGGCGCACCTCAAGAGCGCGCTGCTCATCCTCTCCCCGCTCCCCCACCGTGCTCTGCCCGCCGCAGGGCTCCGCCTCCACGGCACCGCCTCGCCTCACCGCACCTCCACACGGACAACCACGTCGGGGACCGACTCAAGGCCACGCCTCCCTCTCCGGCAGAGCCCCTCAGCCACGCTGTCTCCTCTGCTTCACCGTGCCACGCCTACCGCCTGTCCGTCACCATGCCGCGCCTCCCCCTGCTGTGGCTGCGTGTGACCACCGTGCCGTGCTTCGCCTCGGTTCGCATCGTGGCCAGGGCGACCAAGTCGTGGTCCGTGCACCTCCCTACGCCGATCCATCTTCGGCACCACCGTAGCCGCTGTGCCCGCCACCACGGCTCACGCGGGCAAGCTGTCGGGGGCCGACTCAGGTCCTACCACGGCCAGCCCGAGGTCGCGCAGGCTCTCGTGCACCTCACCGACGGGCTTCCCGCCGCCACCGTGCCTTCCCCAGTCGGGATTGACCGCCGGCCGGTGCTCCTCTGCTCCGTGCTCTGCTTTTGGGGAGGGAGGGAAGGTGAGAAAGTGTGGATAGAAACTAATATATGGTTCTAGGTGTAAATTACGTGACTCTAATGAATAGTGCATCACGGTGCTTGTGGATCTCAAGTTGAATAGAGAAAAACGCGGGGTCTTTCTGTAAAATGCGCACTTGTGCCTGAGCCACGCCGCGTGGGCCGGTCTGTTGGGCCGCTCGCCTTGCGCCTCCGCGGCCATGGCCTGTTCGACGCCCCGCCTGGGCCGGCCTTATGCCGCCCACGCCTGGGCCGCATGCGTGCGTTGTGCTCCTGGGCCGCGTGTCCGCGTGGGCCGTCCGCGCCATTACCGTCGTCGCTGGGCCACGCCGGCTCACCGGTCGTGGGCCGTGGTGCTCTTTTCTTTTTCCTATGAATTAGTGAAGATTTTCTAAAATAAATTGTGGAACAAATTTAGTTGAGTTCCTAAAATCATGATCTATCTAGTAGCATAATTGGTTCATCTAGTTGGTGTTGTTTTTTAGGTTGCTCTAATTATTTTAAAATGTTTAATATTGTTAAAATGTGAACTTGTGGAAATTTTTATAAAAAAATGGTGATAGTGTTGACTCTGAAAATTTTACAGTAAATTCCTAATATTGTTAGCTGCTTACTATAATTTTTGTAGCTCTAGAATAATTAGATTGCTAGATAGATAATGATGACCTATTTTGAATAAAGATTAAATCGATAGAATAGAATAGAGAAATACTTTGGAATTTTATAACTAAAACACTTGTTGGCAAATGACACCTTGCTCGATGATATTGATACGTAGATTAGTACGCTAGTCATTAGAGCTAGCTTGTTA